AACGCTATATTTTTATAAGGAACTGTAGAACTATGGAGAGAAAGAGAGGAGGGAGGGAGGGTACTGGAACTGTCACTTTCTTTCATATTAGAATAGAATGTCGTTCTAACTTCACGGATACACTCAAAAGTGGAGTATGTAAAATTAGCACGACATTTTATTAATGCAAGAAAAAAATGACAGTTCTAGTAGCGCTTTTCATAGCTCAATTCATTTACTTACAAAAATAAAAGAGTTTCACATTTGTTATATTAAAAAATCAAAATTGAAAAAATAGCAATTGAAACTCTGTTTAAAAATGACTGTAGAATTTTGCTAAAAATAACGAGAAATGTCGCTGAAATTGCGATCGATAATCGATAAATTAATGGCACAATACTTTTTTTCATGTGTTGTGATATCTTGTACTCATACATTTAAAGTTCATTAAAATTGGGAATAATAATTGTTGGAATTTTGTTTTTAAATTACATATATTAGTACAACTTCAACGATATGAGAATTCATTATGGAAGAGAATAGAGCAGTTTTTGAGGAAATCAAAGAGTGCGAATTATCACGAATCGCTCACTTCTGACGCTGTAGCTTTACGCTTACTCAAAATGACAGTTAAAGTAATAAGTAATAATATAAGTAATTGTGTATATATACCGAGTCTTTTTGGTAGCGTAAACTGCAGTTATCAGAAAATAAAATACTAAATCTTGCGGGCGTTCCATTACATCGTATTCTCGCTTGCTTGCTTACAGACCGGAGCCTGCCTTTCAACGTTCAAAGCCGTCCGCTCTCAACGTTGGCGGCGGCGCGGAGGCCGGTCGTCTCCCAACTTTCTTATTCAAGACATTTTGAGAGCAATTTAACTTGGACTTTGGTCAAAGAGTCCCAGTCTTGGAGCCGCCTTGTGAGAAGGGAATTAAGAGCGGAAGGAAAGTGACTGCCGGGCCGTAATACGGCCGGATGGAATACGGAGGAGTGGCTTGCGGGAGGTTGCATCGTTCATCGCGGACAAGTTAAAAAAGAGAGATACATCCCGGGAACCGTCGGAGTGCCGCCGTTGTCGAGATTCACGAGGTGCATCCGGCTGGCGGTGCATGCGACCGGTTCGCCATCGGCTGTCCATCGACGACCAAGGTTCGCCGTACGGTTATGCTGGTGGCATCGCTGCAGGTGGCCGCCAGCAAATGCTGTCATGCCGCTGCCATGCCAGCCGGCGGCCCGGAGCCGGCCGCTGGTCACGACGTGGTGCCTGATCAGGCCGATCCGTTGCTCTCTGCGCGTAGGACTCGCACTGCTGCCCCTGATCGTCCTGTTAATCTTGGCCGGCCGCAGTTGTGCGGCTTCCTCGCAGCCCGTGACCCGCTACGCCTCGCGCATCGTCGAGACGAAGAGCGGACAAATACGTGGGATACTTCAGGTATGTATCGATTCTTCTTGCTAGGACCCGAACCGGGAGGGGATGGAAGAGAAGGAAGGTGGAGGAAATGGAGGAGGAGTATGACAGGGTGTGGGGTATCGAACGACGTACCACATCCCCGGCAGGATTTGGATATCCTAGGCAGGTGGAACGAACGCATTGGAGCCTGCTTGCTCGGACATCGAGTTCGAATCGTGATTCGCGGATCGGCTAGTTGCCGGCAGTATTACGTCGCTGTTTCCGCGATGTACACAGCGAAAAGCGAGATTTATTGCTGGATTGACCCTGCGGAAGCGGGATTTTTCTGTCCGTCGTCGTTCGAACGGGGTAGCTCGCTCGAGAATACCAATTATTTGTGATAACGCGTTTCATTTTTTCATAATTCTAATATCAGTTTTTTAAAGAGATGAAGGTACGTTTTTTTTTTTTGGTAAAAAAATAACATTTCCCTCCGCTAAATTTCTCGACGTAAAATTGAAGCTGTATACTATAAAATGGAACGGTATTCGCTAGTAATCGATTGCAGAATCTCTCGCGCAGGTCTATTCTTCCTGTTTATACAGGTAACGGGCGGTGGTTATGATAGTGGATATGCGATGACATGAATATTTGGATATTATGTGTACAGGATGAGATAATATCTTGGACATGAATTAATCTCCTGCTGTAGTTCACGTGCGAAATGCGAATCAATTTTGGTCAAGAGCTGTATAAACTAGCCCAGTTAAATGTCTTGTTAACTAATATCGAAATAATAATTATAGCTACAGCAGGGCGGCCGAGTGCTCTCTATTGAGTTCTACGTTACGTAATTAATATCTATTTTCATTTTAACAATACGCTATCTATTCTCACTGATGTTACAACGTATAATGGTAAGCGTTAATAATACATGAATAACGCTTTTAGCATGCGACATTACGGAGAGTTTAACGTGTACGAACGATGTTTCCGCGAGATTTTTAATCTTCGCGCGTCGAGCGCGTTCGGCAAAAACGAAGATAAAAACTATATCTAATGTTCTCTCATTAACATCCCGAGGAACGTTGGGTCCCCGGCGCATTAATCTTGTGATTTCAATTACTTCCACACTACTGTCTTCCTACATCTCTTAAATTTGACCGCGTCGCCGCGTATCCTCCTTTTCCTCGCGCTTTACTTTCTCCCGTTTTTCTGCTTCTTTTTCTCATCACTTGTTCCGTCCAATCTAACTCGTCCTCAGTGCCCAACACCTCTTCCCTTTTTTCTCTCTTCTCGTTGCCCACCAACGTACTCTTTCATTAAATGCGTTACTCTGTCCTCCTATCACTCTCACAAACTTTACAGACCTTCTCCCCGGCTTTTCTTTCCTCTGGCGTCAGTTTCTTCTCTTTTACCATCCCTTCAACTTATTACCGCACCTAAATCCTGCTGTCGACTCGACATTAAAACTTCCCTTTGCCTGCTAAGTATCTTTACCAACCGATAGCTCTTATATCCTTCTCATGGCTTTTTTTATTGCTCTAATTAACTAAGAATACGTGCGTCGCGCTCGTTAACTTTTTCGTCGTATCTTTACACGCACGCGCACACGCACACTCAATGAGCTGAAAATGTTTATTGACGTATAAGCTTTAAAATATCTTTAAGAGTTCTTTAAGAAAAGTCTTAAAAATATTTCACAAGGAACACGAAAAGATATCTTAAAATTGTCATATACGTGTCGATCCGTTTTATCCGTTTATTCGGCAATATTTGGAAATTAATATTTCGTTAACTGTTGCGAAAATTGCAAAATGATAGAGAACTTTTCAATTTAATTTTCTATTAAAAATAGCACTGTATGATTAGTGGACGTTATTTCAGTTACACGTGTATGTATACATTTTCTCTCGCAATTAGTCAAGCACACGCGTTTCCTCGAAAGAAGCAGCAAGACTAATTATCCTCGTCAAACCGTACACAGCGAAAGAATTCGCAACGAGTACAAGCTTTTATTATAGCTAGACTCGAAATTTCGCGAGCGGAATTAAAATAATTAAATACGAAACGTGTATACACAGTAGAAAAATCCCTGTCTTTTATCCTCCGTCCTACTTCCAATATACTTCGCATAGCTGCGCGCCGCTGCCTGGAGCGGGAACTAAAAGCGGTTCGATATCTCGATGTCCCGCACGACAGCGAAATTTTTCCAACAGACAATTTGCTGGCAGCTCGTCTATCGGAGCCGAAGCGTTTTCACAACACCGATCAGTCAGAGTGGGCGAGGCCGATTTGACATTTACCGCGGCATTCGCTACGCCGGATGGTAGACATCAATTACGTCTAATAGATATTCATATCGACAAGAGGCGGATCGATGGACGTGTCTGATGATTCAACCTCGTGCCGGCTCGGCGCCGCGCCGCTCGCTCGCAATACGAGCCGGCAAATTTCGCGTTTCGCGTTAAAGTATCCCGCAGGCGGGATACCGTCAACCGCATATATCCCCGCCATCTCCACCACCGGTGGCTTCACATCGGCGAAAATAAATTCGCGGCCGCGGAATAGTTGGGGAATTGCGGGGAAATCGGCCAATTTGATGCCTCGGTATCAATCCGCGCGGTGCATCACCACCGATATCGTTCGGCGACACAATAACGTATCGCAGTCCATGGACACGTTATACGTGAAGGGATCGTAGAGCTTTCATCCCCGCGTGTTATTTAACTTTCTGACATTTGATATTTGCACGTCGTTGTTGCACTCGCGAAATTACGAATCCCGTTCTCCCTCAAAATTGCCGCGCCCGACCCCGTCGAAAAAGGATCGCGAGAGCAACGTTAAATCCCAGTTGCTCTTCGCGCAATCCCGGAATTTCATCTCCGCGCTCTTATCAAGTCTGTGTAAGGCGCGCGTATATATACAAATTATACAGGATATTGCAGCGTCGTTGGAACTTCGATACTTCGAGGAACAATGTTGGCTTATTATAACTGCTACGAGCAAAGGGCGAAATAATTGAAGCGTAGGCAGCATTGGAGTAAAGCATGCTCGCGATTCGTAGAAGGATCCACTTTAAATACATAGTTACGTCTAAAAGCGGATCTTACGCGTGGGTATTACATGAACCACCACTGTCGATTCATCCCCTTCAGCGCCTCATTTTGCTCGTATATCCCGACCAAGTTTCCTCCCGGGATCGGCTCGTCGCTAAAAGAGAAATCGTCGAATACGGATTATTTGTAGGGGCGCGTGTATTCGTAATGCCATCACCGACGTCTCACGCGATTGAAACATCCGCGCGCGGATCAGACGGGGGACACAGTCGCTTTGGCGGGAATTGTGGATCCGCAATTTACCGGCCTTTTTTCGCCCAGCAGTCCCCGGGCGGATGGATGGATAACGAGAAAACTTTTTCGCTCAGGACGCCTCGTGGCCTTTACATTACGTCGTAACGTGCCGCACAACTCACGGTTGTCGTTTTTTGTTCGCCCCGCTCGCTCGCGTTCGCCGTTCACCGGTCCATTTCGCACGATCGACCGCCATACGTTTTGCCGGAGGAAAACATTGCTCTGTCAAACGCGCACCGACTACAGCGATCGCGTTCCTTCAGTCCCTTGCTCCTCCGCTGTGATATATAAGCAGAATTATTTTGCATATTGCCGCCCTCAGGCACGTACAGCCGTTGAATCTTGAGCGATGCGAATCTTGAACGATCGATTATCGTTATGCGTTTGCGAGACTACGTCGTGTTCGAGATACACGTTTATCGTACATCGGACGTAGATATTGATAGAGATACATCGACGTTTGTAATATTTATTAACAGTACAAAATTACCTTTTAAACATAAAAGGTAGAAAAAGGTACTGAGAATAAAAAATTTGTGCTCGTCGAAAAAAAAATGTATTAAATTAAAAAGTAAAACTCAAGTGGTACTATCTTTATTAATTTATGTATGATAAAATCTCAGTGATACGTATCTTTGTATATTTTCATTGAAGATCTTCTTATTCCAAGTGATAGTAATTTGAATTCTTTTTCAAAAATTATCATATCACAAAATTGCGTTTCCTTATGCAAGTGTATGTATCATTTGTATAAATGACTTAATATTAGTAATTGGCACGAAAATCTCATTGATAAGGATATATCGACGTTTGGAGGATGTATTAATTCTCCTTATGAAGCATATCAGTTGAATATTGAATTTTCTACGTATGCTGAGTTCGTAGTAGAATCTGGGTCAATTTAATTCGGACATTGTCCTTATCGAAGATACGGTCTTTCTTCGGCATTCGCGTATAAGCCATCCGGCTGAGCATAATCCGAGTATTAAACACGTCCGAATTCACCGAACAGAAAGCGGAAATATAATTTCCCACTTATTTATACGCGAATCTCGGAGATGAAAATCGCGTTAATCGCATCCGCATTTTATCCACAGAAGAGAGAGAGAGAGAGAGAGAGAGTGAGAGAAAGAGAGATGCGCGCGCGAAAAAAAAATTGTTTATAGGTGCGCGTTTTTTAATACAATTATCGCGCCCGGTTTACGAGTTATATCCCGTATTCCGAAACTGAAACGCATACGTTTGAAGCGCTTTACAAATTTTTCACGACGCATAATAATTCCCCGCGAAAACTACATCTACTGGTATCCCATCGCGGAATTTTTTTTTCACTACGTCCGCGTCTGTCAACGGCCCGATTGGCATTGCAAATGCATTAACGTATGCTCTTACTACGTTCGTCAATTTGCCTTTGTACTCGGAAATTTGTCTTCGTCATTTCTCTAGTTTGGAATTTCAATCTTGGAAATATTTCCTCGGCAGAGAAGTGCCGATATATTTTTTTTCTGTTTTTTTTTTTTTATTACGCTATCCTTTATAAATACGCGGGGAAAAAAGTTGCTCTCTTTTTTTTTTCCAGCCTACCCTCATAATAAATCTCTCCTTTCTAATCGGCAATCCTCTTGACTAAATGCAACTTGACCATCGTTTGCGGCCGCGTCTTTATTCGCCTTTACATTCATTGGACGC